AAGTTTTCCTTTAAAAAAATAAGAATTCGAATTGAGCTTTACTTCAAATAATCAATCTTCTTTCCTTTTCTCATGCCATTTAAGGTTGTATCATACCATGAGGTCTGTTTGTCAAAGATTTTCTAGGCATTTAGACGCCGATTACAAGTGAATTCAATATCAAATTCATATCATTTTCTCTGACAATATTTCCATTACTCCATTTTCTTTTCGAAATCAAAGTGAATAGCCGCTGTTATATTTGACAGCAGATTCTCTAACGCAAAGACCTTACCAAACACAAAAGAGAGCATGAGAAAATGTTGCAAGTACAATGAGCTCTAACAATTTTGTATTTTGTTCGTGTTGAGGCTAATCCTGTATCCCAGAATGCTTAAACCTAGTGCCTTTTGGGAATAACAGGGTTAATCTCAACTTGGGGAAAATGCAAATTTTCAAGGATATTGTATTGATCGCTTTCAACCATTCCCATGAGATTCAAAAGATAAAAGACCGGCGGCCATGTTGGAGGAATGAACAATAGATACTAATGAGAAATCCTTTGTTGAAGTTCCTCCAAGATGGCCGCTGTGACGTATATTGAAAACGAAGAATTAGCGACATTTTTTTGCGCTTTGTTTTGTGTTTGGTAAGGTCTTTTGCGCTAGAGAATATGCTGTCAAATAAAGCAGCGGGTTTTCGCTTTGAATTCGATAATGCTCCTTGCCTTTATTAAACTCAACACATGAAAAAGGGAAGTTTGAAATAGACCTTTCAATCCAAAAGCTAAATTATGATTTAACAGGCACTCTTTACACTGGAAAAAATCGGACGCTTTAAAGGTTGTAAATTTGGTGCAAATATGATGAAAGTGTCCAAAACTCTGATCTGTAAGTTTAATGGGAATCATTTACATTAAATTTACAGAATTTTGGACACTTGCCATCATATTTACATCAAATTTACAAGCGCACGATTTTTTCCAGTTTAAAGAAAACAATTAAAAAGACATGAATAACAGCAATATATATTCATAAACTGAGAGATTACAGATTGAAAAGAAAGCTGTGTTTTGATCTGAGTTAAAAAAATGTTAATGAATTTCTAATTTATTGTCATATGAAAATTGAAAAAAATAATTATTTTCCCTTGCGTTGAAAAGACAATGACCCCACGCGTAGCAGCTGTGGCGTGGAAAAATTACAAACCTTAATAGTCCATAAAATGACCGAAAAACTGCGACGTTCTTCAAAGCTGACTGCATGGTAAGTGCTATAATTTCCTTTTTTCTTAATAATGTGAAGGAAGCATTTTGTTTATGATCAAGTATTTTAGGAATTCATGTTTTGTTGATTAAACGTCAAATCCTCGATTCATTATATTTAATCTACTCTGTATTTTATCATTAGTCGATCATCGATCCCTAAACTGAATGTTTTCTTATTTTATTTTAAACACATTAAGCTCGATGAAAAAAATAATGATACTAAAAGTGTAATTTTCAGCGGTATAATAAAATAAAGCATTGACATCAATAACATGACTATTAAGATATGCATTAATGGCAGATGGAATGATTTCAGAAATCTCCTAAAGTAGATATAGCTATTTCAAAAAAGGTTGTCGGATAAAATGGCGAATGTCAATGGTCGAACGGCCATTGCACGACTGAAAGTAGCATGGGTTTTGCTTGGTAAAATGAAATAACAACTGACAGATTTACACTACAAGATAGTCTGTGGTAAACATTGGCTCCATTTAGTCTCCATTTCTATGTAAGGTGAATCTGATAAAACAGACTGCAACCATAGTCCCTTTCGGTCGTGCAATCTCCCTTTGACAACTGCGCCGTTCGCCGTTCGCCGTTCTCCCCGACAAAGTTTTTTGAAATAGCTGTGTACAATTCTAATTAGTTAAAAGAATAGAGAAGTTGAAGTGAGGGAATTATATGATGTGATAGTTGACAATGTAAACTGAATGTTCCGAAAACCAAAGTCATCCCGAAAATGCCATTATTCAAAAAAATGGGGTTTATTTCTTATACAACATTGATAATAATATAAATCCATAGGGCAGATTTTCGATTAATTTACTGTTCTGCTACAGCCCCCATTTACCCCTCCCTGGATAGATTGTTATTAAAGTTATAATAGTCTTTCCTTACTTCGATACCGTTTTTTTCTATATACATTTGTAAACTGACGCTCAAGTCCATTGAAGACTCCTGTAAAGCAATTTTGAATTGAATTTGACAACTCGAAAATTTCTGAAACAACTAAAAGAATTTTTAAATCTAAAACAAAAAAAAAAAAATCGCATCTCGACATTTCCACGTACTGAATAAACATCGGCCAGTATTATAATTTGTCACTGGTTAATCCTGCACTTGATTTATTCACTTACAAGAACAATGACATTCATTCCACAGACCTGCTTGGGACTACGGGTGACTGAACACAAATTTCATGACCCCTGAACAACTTCATTCAAGTTATTTTGTATATTATCCTCTTAGAATTTCAACTTTCTCAAGTAATTCAGTAGCTGGAGGTTCCTGGTGATCTAGTTAACTTATTTAAAAAAAGAAAAGGCAAAAGATGACAAATATTAAGCTAATATACAAGACAACTGAGTGAAGCTTGTTTCTGCAACCAGCGACTAGCCAAGTTCGTTGAAGTCACTTAACAAGTTGCCATGGCATCTCGTAGAACTTTTAAACGAGAGCATGAGACAAAGCAGACTGTAGCGGACGCTTTTCGGACTATCGTAGAACAAGTATGTGCAGTCCAAGAGCTTGACCGCGGCGAGAGCTTCTTCGGTCGCGTAAGCGTTCGACAAGCCGACGAGAAAGAAAATGAAGTGAGCAACTTAAGGAAACCGAGCTGGCCAAGAGTCACGGGAGTTCTCGCTGCAAAGCGACAATTCTTAAGGAAAAAGGTGTGAATTTCTTGGTGTTTATTTGTAGTATCGATAGTTATATTATTAATTATAAAACACTCTAAACTTTCATACAATTCAGTGTGTTTACATACTGAACGTACACTTGTCTCTTATATACTTAACGATATCAAACTTTTGATGTCAAACTTAAGTAGATAAAACTTTGAATTGTGTAGGTTATGCTACAAAGTAAAGAATCTTTTGACCAAATATCTTTAACAGAAAATTTCTTTTCAAATAGTATTAGCAAAMGTTTTCAAATTATGTCATTTAACAGACGAGTATTTTTCCGCGTTTAATTCAATTTATAACATWAGCTCATCAAATATTGAATTGTTTTGAATACCTAGTCAAGCGTCAACGAACTCAACGATGCTATCACCCAAGGAAAAGATATCAATGAAATAAAACGATTTGGGATATTTGATGGTAAGTATTTGGCTGCCTGTGTAGTTTCTCATGAATAACTTGATCTTTACCCACTTTTTTACAAGTCCAGTGATAAGTCTGAGATGCACTAACTCTTTCAAAACGGCTTACAGCAAATGCGAAACGAAACGAAACGAAACGAAATGGTTTCGCAATTTACAGATTTTGGTGAGAAAACTGTAAATTGCGAAACGAAACCTTGTTTCGCATTTTGCTGTAAGCCTTCAAAACTAATGCAGACGCGCTCRTGAAACCAAGTTATTTCTGAGAATGTTCCTTTGTCTATTTTTGACCGAAAAGACCTTTTTTCTGTGCACGACTGCGATATTTTTGTGTATTGTAGTCCTTTAGTGACGTAGCAACTAACCCTCCAAATATCCCAGAATCCACTGCGCACTTTACCAACTTATCGCACCAAAAGSTGATCCAAGACCCAAAGGGTTGCGAGAAACAYTGGGACGAAGAAGGGAGAAATGACTCCTAAACCGTCTGGGATGAGGGAGAAATTATAATGAAATCGAGGGAGCCAAAGAGCAAGGGACATCAATGTTTGGCGGAAAAAGTGAAAACTTATGGGATGTGGGAGAATTAAAGTCCCTCCCATCCACCACCAAACCACCCGACTATAACAATAACCAACTAACAACCATAAATTTCAATGAGATATAATATTACCTCTAGGTATCAATAGCTCTGATGAGTTCGGCAAGACTCCCTTGCACTGTGCTGCCGCATCTCAAAACGTCGACGTTGTGATGTATCTTATTGAACGTAAGGCTAACGTAAACGTACTAGACGACCGCGGAGAAACGCCGTTACATGCTGCTGTGAGAACTGGCAATGTCTCTCTTGTTAATGTAAGTAACTTATCTGGAAAATTAATACCTTATTTTTGTGCTGGGACCTTCATATTTGTGTCTTCCTTTTGCATATATGGTATAACCTTTCCTTATTTGGACTGAAATTCGAGAGCACTCCCTTTTTTTAAGTTTTAAACCTTGCAGTTATTTATAACGAAAAGGCTTTAAAATAATCGGCCATCTTGTTTCTTTACATATATATGTTATAGCATCGTAGCTAAAAAGCACAGGGATTCCGCACGACTGACAATAATTCGTTGATATCTGTGGTGATACTCCCAGATAAGCTTTTATCATTGTGTCCTGCGTTAATCATGCCGCAAAAACACATGAAAAATATACTCTATGTGTGACCGGTGGAAATGATTTTTATAAAAGTTTTTGGAGAAACATAACACAGAAAAAACTAAAACACAACAAAACACGACCGAAGCTGGAGCAGAACTCGTTTACTTGCGTAAATCGCGTGCGTTTTAAACGTGAWSGACCACGTAATTTGCCAAATATGGATTACAWTGTAACACAATCTCGACCTTGTACAYGTTTGTATGCAGGCGTTGGTTAAGAGTTCTAGCATCGACGTGAACCTTTGCGGTTCGTTAACCAAAACGACTCCTTTACATCTTGTCGCGCAACTGGAGCATCCAAACAGCGTTCGAATCTGTAAACTACTGGTAAGCTCTTTTCTTTCTATATATAGCTATTTCATATATATAGCTATTTCAAAAAAACGTTGTCGGGGAGAACGCGAATGGCAATTGTCGAAGGGAGATTGCACGACCGAAAGGGACTATGGTTACAATGTTTTGACAACAAAATTTCACTTATTGGATTCACCTTACATAGAAATGGAGACTAAATGGAGCCAATGTTTACCACAGACYATCTTATTTTATGATAGATAATGAAAGACGCCAATCTGTTCCTGCGAGACTGCAATAACAAGACAGCGGTTTCTTATGCTGCGCAACTAGGCAACCATGAACTGATGAGGTGTATATTGAGAGGKGGTAAGTTGACTCGCATAAAGCCATTCTCGTACCCAGATCCTTCTCAGTCAGTTTATTCCCAATGGAAAATCGAAGGTTCTTGGAGACGATACCGGAAGACCTAGAATCTGGGTCGTACGATATATACATTCTGATGGCGCATGGGAATTTTTTTAAACCAATCAAATCAAAGACTCACTCGTCTCCAACCAGAGTCTTCGATTTTCCGTTGGGTAAGTGAGAAGGAATGGGTACGAGTATGGCATAAAGCTGTCTAATGAYGYRGTATCATAGGAAATAATTTCTTAAAGAATCATAATGAAACATACCGCTGSGCAGTCGTTGAAAGAACTAARACCTATACTAATTCGAGTCCAACTGTCTTTGTAATAGCCTTAAAAAATAAGGACGARCTCTTGTACGACGCCGATAATGTTGGAAACTCATTACTTCATCTTGCTGTCAGCAGTCACTCCCCACAGGTAAGTGCGTGCGCATACTAAAGTRTGAGTTMAAATCTACCAATCACTTCTGCTTTCCAGACATAAACCTCGTYCCAAGCCCCTTTCGTGTGGTGTAGGCGGGGAGAGGGTGATTGGGATTAATACTCTTCAATACAATAGAAGATTTTGCTTTATCTACAGGCTGTTCAGTTGTGTCTGGAGTTCAATGCAGAGGTAGCCMGAGTAAAGGTAAAAAAGTAAAATGGAAGCAGTAGAATTTATGAAAAACTTGGAATGGGACGGGAGGGGGATGGGTGGTGCCTATATGCATGAAAAACTATGCAATTTCGAGATTATCCAGATTTTGGTAAACGAGGCCTTAGTCTCCGCTTTAAAAGACGTGTCAGGTGTATTCTCTGTTTTGTTTTGTAGCCGTCCGATGGAACAACTGCTCTACACATTGCCTGTGCACTCGGCCCACTAGAAATAGTCACCATGATCTTACAGTCGGTATTCTTTTACTATGATTATTCACTGGCTGACAAGAATGGCATGACTTGTCTTCATCTGTAAGTCATCACTGAAAACAGCAGAAGATCCGATAGTCTTCTTCACGGTTCCCTGCGCCATCTTGAAAAGTAACCGTGCCTTTGCATCGAAGTGAGATAACCGTTGAGCGTGCAATGATAGATACCTGTGAATAATTGTCAGTAGGAGTGAAAGAAGGTTTTTGTCATTGCACTCTCAACGGTCGTCTCGCTTCGATGTAAAGGCACGACTACCTTTCAAGATGGCGCAGGGAACCGTGAAGGAGACTATTAAACGTTTTAATTAAACGGAGGACCTGTTTCCTCTATAATACATCAATTTGTCGAAAAATATACCCTTTTCATTACATTATGATTTTTACCCTGAATTAAAGATTATTTATGTCTTTTTAGGGCTGCAAAGCATAATCAAGCTGAAATTATTGAACTWCTCCTCAAACAGGTATTGATAAGTCGGTTTGTTGAGTTAGATCGATGGACTGATTAGCTATTTGATTGATTTGATTTATTCGATTGATTGATTGATCGACCACTTGATAGATTGATTTGTGCGATGATTGATAGTCTGACCGAGTCATCACGGCCCTCTTCGTATCCCAGCGAGGTCGGAAATTAATTTTTCCGAATTTATTTCTAAGGGACTTCTCCCGGAATTGCCTCCTTCTAAGCACTATAACTTTCTTTCATTTCTATATCGTGTTTATCATAGTGCTATGCGGTCTTCATATTCATACCTCTTCGTATCACATTGAAGCGAGAAACTTTTTTGAAAATATGACAGAGACTGAAAACTAATTATTGGTGTCATAAAACTGATGACTGCATGAAAGTCAATATTAAAGGAATTCCGTATTTTTTCTTAGAAAATCGACATCAATTTACTCGACAAAAACGATAAAACTCCCTTGATGTGGGCTGTGTCACGTGGTTGCAACAAAGCAACTGAAATGTTATTGCGTTATGGGGCAAATGTCGATCTGGTGGACCACAGAGATCGCACTATCATCCACCTTGCAGTTGGTAGCAAYACGACACTTAGCCTCCTACTGCAGGTAACACAAACATCATCTTCGGGAACCCAGGGGTAATGTTCTGTCGTCGTTCAATTCTCACTCCCAGAAAAAATACCCCCGGGTGCAAAGTCTGTTAGACCTTGTTCTCGAATTCAGAATAGCGCCCGGTAAATTAATCAACCAATCAGAATGTTCGAATGAGTCACTCGACCTATTAGAAATTTACCGGCCGTCACTTTTTGAATTCCGAATCGAGAACAAGGACTAACAGACTTCGTGCCCAGGGTATTTTTTTCTGCGAGTGAGGAACGAACGACAGAAGATTACCCCTGGGTTTCCGAGGATGCACAAACATCTATTTCACTACTTTTCTACCTTGTATATCAATGCCTAAACTGTTAAGTTCTTTTCCTTGGAGGACGCGGTACAGCGCGTGTTTACAATTAACTGTTCAACATTATCAGGTTACATAGGATCAGCATTGCTGCAAGAAGCCTATGCAAGCGCTCTTTGAGCGTCTACATTCTTTTATTTTCTTTACAAAATTTCTCAGTTGCAAGAAAGAAATTAGTATCAAATGCATGTCTTACAGAATCGAAAAGTTCGTACGCTAATCAGGTCAAAAGACAAAACAGGGTCAACAGCTTTGCATTATGCTGCAAAAGGAGGTTATCCTCTGGTGAGTACTAGGTTGACAGAAACTTTACGACACCGCTTTATATTGATAATGAAAAGTGTATGACAGCACACGTTGATATATTGGTGGAAACTAGCGGTAAACTAGTGTGAGCTGCGTCGGTGTTTCTAAAGAAACAGTTATGTAAAAAGATAAATTAAAAACCGTAAAAAAATATGTGAAATAACTAAGTAACTAAACGTCAGTAAATTATTTCACCTACTGTTATACGGTGTTAGATTTATATTTTTACACAAACGTTGATATATATTGACAAAAAAAAACGAATAGTATAAGCTTATTTCTTATCAATCAGTATTTTTTCTTGTGTACAGGATGTGGAACTAATCTTATCGATCCAAAATTCCCTGACAGGAGTTCAGAATGTAGATGAAGATACTCCATTACACCTTGCTGTCCGGTAGGTTAATCAATAGCCAAACCTGGTGGAATTAAAGCAGCGAAGTAAGCGCATGATCCTCTTTTATCATAGTCAAATATTCAAAAAAATATCGATCATGGTGACGTCATTTTTGCTTTGACGAAATGCATCATGGTTGTGATGAGGTATCAAGATGGCGGATATTTTCTAAAGAACATGGAAAACAAAGTTTCTTTGTGGAATTTATTCTCGAGAATCTTCAAAAGCTTTGAATAAGACGGCTTCACTCTAGTTTTATACTCAAAGACCAGTCTTAGCAAATCGTAATGTTCTAATGTTCGTAAAACATCCTGAAGTACAATTTGGTATGTTCCTTCCACAATCCCAGGGTGCATCTCGCTAAACACCCCATTACGTCATTCAGGGAAACTCTCATTACGAAACTTAGACGTAATCTATACAATGTAACGCTTGTCACAGGCACGGATGGCTTAAAATAGTTCAAATGCTTCTTGATGGCAAGAATTCACGAATGGTKAACAGTCTGGACAAGTATGAACGAACTCCACTGCACCTCGCCGCCAAATATGGTCATGTGGAGATAGTGGAATTCTTGTTGCAAACTGGTGCAAGTATCCAACGGTGAGGGGTAGGGACGGGAATTGATTGTCAATATAAAGTCGATCATTTTTTATTGTTCGTTCATTTTTGGTCGTTTGTTTGTTCTGTTATCTGGCCTAATCCCTTTCTTCGTTCGAAGTTCTTTTGTCGCGTTTGTTTGAGAATACTCCAGTTTCGAATTCTCTTTTGTGCAAGCTTAGATTCAACCAATCATAAATTGTCTTCTTTGCACACAGAGTGTTTGCATTACAATAGGATCTCTGCTGTATAAAAGAATATATTACATGCTTTCGAGGTTAAGGGTGCACAAATAAGATCTCGAAACTGGAATTTTCTTTTACATTCCTGAGCCGTGTGCCGGTCATAATCAGGAAAGTCATCCATCCCTCCTTCTCTTCATAAATTCATCCCATTCGTTCAGTTGTAAGTGTGTCTATAACTCCGTCATATTCCTTTACTATGTAGCGATAGCAATGGMCAGACTCCTCTACACCTGGCCGCCTTGACGGGATCCCTGTCTATTGTAGAACTTCTTCTGTCTGATAACTCATTCTGTTTGAACCAGACCGACAAACGTCAGGTAATCTGTCAGTCAAGTCATCATTAATGACGTCATATGTATTTTTTAGCGAAATGCATCATGGTATTGAAAGTCGGTATCAAAATGGCGGATGTAAAAGTAATAGAGCCAACGCACTTTTAAAATCTGTGGAACTGATTATGCACTAAATTATACCAATTCCTTTGTTTCTTATTGTCTAACACTATTTAGTAGTAATTAGCTATAAGTTGTAGTATATATATAGTTTTTTTAATGGATGTAACATGTTGCGTGACAGGAGTCTGCGTTACATTTGGCTGTTCAAGCTGGTCACACAASCGTTGTGGAATACTTTATCTCAAATAAAGACCAAGACTTGACAGAGAATACGTTGAACAAAAATATACTGGACATGGCAATAGAACATAAACAAAAGCCAGTTGCTATGGTACTAGCCAGTCACAGAAGGTACGATGGGCTGACTTTTTTTCTAATTAATATCAATAAATAGAGGATATCACATGGGCGCGCGGAGATACGGATTTTATCTTCGAGTGTTGAAAAGATTCGTATCTCCAAGCGAACATATAATATTCTGTTTATCATATAATTACATAATTTATGAATGCAAATTATGTCTTAAAATACCATTTTTAACATGGACTTTGTAAAGAAACCTCGAATGCGTTTTTTCACTAGTGAAAATAACAACGTTACGTAATGGAGAAATATAGGTATTTTTAATTAGATAATTACATGATATATGTCATTAAGTTAAATTGTTTATCATTATTCCCAGATGGCGAGAAATGTTTAAACCTGCATTCAAAGGAAACCCAAGTCAAATGGAATTACTCATAGAAAAAATGCCGGAAGTGGCCGAGGTACGGAAGTGACGTCACCACGTTTTCCTAAWGTTTGTTTTAATCGTTATCCTTATTTTTTTGCAGCGTTTTCTGGATCGATGTATACGTCGGGAAGGACGGAAAGACAACCCTGATCACAAGGCAGSCGAACTTCTTTACTATCATAAACGAAATGTCCATTATTACCATTTCAAATATATAATAATTTGACATGGACTGTTCGCTTTTTTAGATCACCTACAATCTGCACTACTTGCAAGGCATGCCGGACTATGAGAAGTGTAAACCTAAGAATTCCCTTAAACCTCTTTTTGTAAGTATAGAGAACGCTTTTCAGCCAATCAGAGCGCGTGTAAGCCGAATATTTCATGACAGTAAAGTTTTGTTTCTTTCCAGGCAATGGTAAAACACAAACGATTAAACTGCTTGCAGCATCCTACAAGTATTGCACTCATCAATGTTAAGTGGTATGTGCAGTAGCCTGAGAACTAGTCACGTGATTTAGTTCTTCTGTATCCGCCATCTTAGCTAGTTTACTTGTGTGCTAATAACATATATTATAAGCTCGAGTATCCGGGGAATAAAGTCTTGGCCGACGACAGTATCGCCCTTGCAATTACGAGAAAGATAAAAAAACATCTTCTGTAAAAGTTGAAAAATAATGATGATCAAGTCAGAAATCACTGGGATGCCTGAGCGCCATGTAAAAATGGTGTTCGTGTTAGCAAATCATGAACTTGTTTCTAAAGTCTGAACGAAGAGTGGCTGAGCTCTGAGAGAACTAGCAGTTGTTCTCTACGATCTAGTCCCATTTCAAATCTTTCCCAATGTTCTCACCCTAGCTTTAAGATTTTTTACCGGCTATTTTTCTGCTTTTCCAATCTCAGTAAGAATTGAACGAAATAATATGGTGTATCTTTTCTTGCTAAAGTTTCTTGTTTCTTTGAAAGGGAGAAATATGGACTCAAGATGGTCTTCGTCAACCAAACTGTATCAGTTCTTTATCTATGCATTGTAATTGCWTTAGTGTCGATGTTAGCTGACAACCCTTGCTATCAGGCCAAAGACAAAGTGAGTAGAGTAGTACGTTATTTACCATATAAAAGCCAAAAGTAAATACACATAGATTCATGAACGCCGCATTTGTAAATAGATTAATTAAAAATAATAATTTTTCAATTTTTATACTAGTAATTCTGTTTTTTTTTTTGCTTAAGAAATATAAAACGGCGCGCGTGTCTCTGTCCTCTGATATAAACACGGTCGTCAGCCAATCAGAGCGCGCGTTATACATCAAAAATTTTATAAATTTTTATAAAAAATCGTAATTTCAATTTTTTCCTCCATAAATTTATTAAMTTTACCAATATCTTTTGAGAACAAGTGTCCCTTCCTACGCTAGTTAGATTCAGTGTCTCTTAAATCATATTTTCTCATCTCTTTCAGACAAATTGCACAAAGTATTCAGACCTTCAAGGAGACGAGGCATGGGTAGGTGGTTGTAACATGTAGATATATTTGGGTCCAGGGTGTTGCAACTCTCCCTGGCAAAAGTTCTTTTAGTCCTCCCCTGTTTTTTTTATGAATAGTTTCAATGTTGGTTCATTTGTTTAGCCAAAGCGACCAGCCATCAGAGCGTACCTGCTTCTCAAGATCGCTTTAATCGCGTTGAGTATTGTCAAGTTGATTAGTCAAGGGTTAKCGTTCTACAACCAGGTTAGTGTCTCAGCTGAATGTCTTCCAATGATGAGGATTKGAGGTTCGGGTGGGTCCATAATTATAATGAGATAAGGGCAAGAARGTTGAAGTATGGGAAATAACGAAGAGTTAGAAAGGGAGAACCAGTACTTCTATCCAATCAACAAATAASTAATGTTTACAACATGAGCGGCCGTGTTGTATGGGATACAACGGACGCGAATGTCGTAAATGACTTGTGAAACGTTTACGTATAGTTTACAACACTCTTCACAGTTGTGATTTCTATTGTGTTTTCCTCATTTATTATTCATGAGTTTTACAAATGATTTTACCAAACGACCAATCAACCAGTGAGCCAACCAACCATCTTTCAAGCCAACCAATCAATCATTTCTTTTACAGGGCTGGCATTACTTTAAAAAGTTCAGTTATCTTCTRGAACTGTTCCTGTGYATAGCTATGATGGTGTTTTTAGTTCCCAGTAATTGCAGCGGTTGTTTCGGCGCRGGCGCAGTAGCTGCATGYATGGCATGGTTAAGTCTAATGTCTCGAATTGCAAGGTATGTCACTCATCATGAATAATCTCATCACTTTTAYCATCCTCATAACATTATAACGTATAGTTGTGAGGACATTTCTTAAGGACCGTTTACACTTAAGATTTTTGCAGCGCGACAATATCGCCACTTTGCTATCGCGCAACTAAAATCGTACGTGTAAACAGCCCTGTGATTGTTGTGGCGATGGAAAATTGCAGCTAAATTGCAGACAATTTTCAAGCTTGTTCGAAACTCAGGCGATGGTCGCGCGACAATCGCCACGACAATCGCTCTGCAAAAATCGCAAGTGTAGAAGTGTAGAAGCAAAAACCGTTGCATCGCGACTTCAATGTTCAAAGGAAATAGTTGGGATTTAGGTTTTTCTTCGACTTGGGGGCGGATCTCGATACTAATCAGCCCCTGATTGAACAAGTTTTCGAAAAGCTCCGCCCCTCAGATTGAAAGAAAGAACAAAATCCAGACGAACTTCAAAACAAAGAGGTCGCGATGCAACGATTTCCGCTGAAAGCTAATTCGTGTTTCCTAACATACTAAAAGATGAAAGATTATTCCTGGCAATGTTTGGAAATTCTTACGTCTGTGATTGTTATTCAGGGTATCTTTTCTTGGTATTTATCTAATGATGCTTGAAAGAATCATCCTGACAGTTTTAAGAGTAAGTACTATTATAACGCGCATAATCATTGGTCGAGAACTCAACACTTTATAAGGCACAACACCATTGCTCGAGAGCTTAGTACAACTCGACTTATAACGGCATAATCATTAGCCRAGAGATCAGTATTGTAATATTGTTTTTAAAGCTAGTTAAAGTATAGATGTTATAGTGTAACTTGAATTCCCATGGTTGAGACTTCAGTGATAACATCACTGCAACAAGCATTTTTATTGGTCCAGATATTGTACAACGTGCACTCTCATTGACTGAGAGCTCAGCGCAAAATCGAACACTCTCATTGGTTGAATGGATTAGTACACTGGTTTTTAAATACTTTCTGTATTATTTTTTGCAGGTGTTTGTCTTGATGTTTCTGTTTCTACTGTGCTTTTCTTTTTGTTTTTACGTACTGGACTTCAAACTGGTTAGTTATAATGAAAGTCCCTTATGAGAGCCTAGAAGTAAGCTTTGTCATACAAAAACCTATACGAGTGATACAGGCGGTCGGGATATAGGATTTGTTATATAGAGGTTGGTCGACTAACTCAGGGGCCCTCAGAACTAAAGTTTCACATTGATTCTAATAGTCAGAAAGATGCTCGGATTACATAAGGCTTTTATATTAACATAGGCGGTCGATTAACCGAGGTTTTCCTATTCTAATAGCTTTTATATTTACATAGGTGGTCGATTAACCGAGGTTTTCCTATTCTAATAGGTGTTATTTAACAACCTATTCCAATCAATTGTGACCACGTTTGTTATGCTGATGGGCGAAGTGAACTATGAAGTTATATTCCTTGAAAATCGTACCATCTATCATCCTTTCCTATTGTACCCCGTGTTCATTCTCTTTTGCATTACGATGCCGATTATCTTCCTAAACTTATTGGTAAGTCATGTTGCTGTTGTTACTATTGTTGTTGCAGTCGTTGTTACTGTTGTTGTTGCTGTTGTAGTTGTTGTTGCTGTAGTTGCCATCGTTGCTGTTGTTGTAGTTGTTGTTGCTGTAGTTGTCATTGTTGTTGTTGCTGTTGTAGTTGTTGTTGCTGTAGTGTCGTTGTTGTTGTTGTTGTTGTAGTTGCTGTTGTAGTTGTTGTTGCAGTAGTTGTCGTTGGTGCTGTTGTTGTTGGTGCTGTTGTTTTTGTTGTAGTTGTTATTATTGTCGTTGTTGTTGTTGTTGCAACGGCGTTGCTGTTATCATTGCTTCTTTTTTATTCTTTTTCTGTTGTTGTCTTTGATGATGCCGTTTTCGTTCAGTCTTGCTAGATAAATTGTACAAAGGTGTATTCCTTATCCAGTGGATTAAACCCATACAAAATCTCATTCGATAGGTAAGCAAGTCTTGTTCTAAGAAGTTTTGTTTCCATTAGATCGGTTTAGCGGTTGGAGATATTGTCAGTATACAAAAAATTGCTGCTTTAGAAAGATACTCTGCACAGGTAAGTCAATATTTTCGTCCTCTCCACTTCTCTCCTTTATCCTGGTCTTCATTTATCCTGAT